ATTATCCCTATTTTACAGATGAGGAAACTGAGGCAAATGGAGATTAAATAGCTTGCCCAAGGTCACACAGCTAGTAAGTGTCTGAGGCTGGATTTGAACTCAGGCCTTCCTGATTCCAAACCAAGAACTCTAATACCCTACAGACCTCACAAGATTGTTGGGAGGAAGATGATCTATAAACCTTAAAGCTCTATATAAGTGTGAGTTCCTATCAACAATAACAACTATAAATAATATGAAGATCCCAGGACTTCAGAACCACAGATTCCTTCCAATGTAGCAGTTTTAAACTTGGCATCCATGAATTTGTTTTTTAAGATATGTTGTTAACTATATTGATATCATTGGTTTCCTTTGTATTTCTATGTAGTTCATCTTGTGCATTTAACAACAGCCTTCACCACACTTCCCAAAGGAGACCAAGATATACATAACGGTTAAGAAGCCTATCTCTACTTCGCTTCAAGGCATTCTTTTAATTGCAGCCTCTGTTCCCTTGAATACGAATATCCTTTGGGATAAGTATTACCTTAAGCATTCTCAGTCATTTTATGCCATGTGTGAATGAGTTTATCAGATCCTGCCCAGAAAGTAAGGACTAAGGGGAGCAGGAAAGTGGAAAGAGAGAATGTAAATCTGATATTGAGAGAGAAATGATCTGATATTGAGAGAGAAATGAAGTACAGAAAGGAGGAGGCAGCATGCTACAAGGTGAAGATCACTACATTGGAGGAAGAGAACCTCAGGTGAGACCCCAGCTCTGCCACTTACTATTTCAATGACCCTGGAACAAGTCACTTAACTTCCCCAGGCCTCAGTTTCTTCATCTGTAAAATGAAAGGTAGGACTAATTATCCTCTAAGGTTGTTTCCACCTCTAAATCTACGATCCTTGGTTCCTGATGACAAATTCTCTTACTTCAAAATTTTGCTCTTTGGCATCTTTGTCTACAAAACTTGTTGTTTGTCCTTCATTCTCAAAGAGGACCATGGCATTGGAAAGATGATGTCATGACTTGTAAGTTAATTGGATTTCAATAAGGGAGGGCTGTGCAAAGTCACCAGCTTCACTTTCTCTTCTGGAGCCATCTAGGTCCAGTGGCCAAATATGGATCAGGACAGCTGCAGATGGCCCAGGATGCAGTGGGGAATCTTGGTCTTTTCAAGCTAAGGTCTTTCCCAGGTCTCTGTTTGACTGAGGCAACACCCATTCAGTGATTAAGGCTTAATAAGAAATGAGGCAAAGAATGGCCTCTACAAGACTTACTCAACAGCCAAGGGGACATTAGGCAAGTGGAAAACGCTGGTTCAGAGTCGGAGCTGACCGGTGCTGAAGTAGGGATGGCTCAGCAGAATGAGCCCTTGAAGAGCCCCAAGTCTGAATCTTGCCGCTGACACTTATTAGACACATGACCCTGGCAATCCATTTGAACTCTGAGCCTGTCTGTTAAATGATGATAATAACCTCACAGTGCTGCAAGGGAGGTTCAAATTAGATCAGACCAGTGAAGGGCTTTCTAAGCCTTAACGTGCTATTTAAATGTTGATCATCATCATCATCATAGTATCATACATAGACTTAGAGCTACAAGACATCCTCAGAGCTTGACTATTTCAAACCTTCATTTTACAGATGAGGAAACTGAGGCCCAGGGAAGTGTAATAACTTGTCTACAGCTACACAGGTACTAAGTTGCCTTTCCATGATCCCAAGCAGCTCCTTTCAAGGCTGCCTTTGCAAACTTTAACACATCATATAAATGTTAGCTATCATTATTATGTCATGGAGAATAGAATTTTCTGGCATTAGAATATGAACATTAGTATGCATTAGCATGTATTTGTACATGCACATGATTTATTCATGTTTATTACTATATCCCTTGATGTGACCTTCTTTCTCTCTCCTCCCTGTTCCCTCCCTCAGCCCCCATCCTTATCCTCCAACACCCATAGTTTTGGTTCTGAGTTGGAATTTGTGTTAAAGGGTAATAGTTAAAGTTTTGTTTTTACTTTTGTCCACCCACTCTTATACTCAGTAATCTTATTTGGTCCCAAGTTAAGCATATGTTCCTTTCTCATTTTGTCAGTCATTCAATACACATTTATCAAGCACTTAGTTCTTCTACCTGGGGGTGACTAAAGCTACCAGGGATCTGTTTACAAGGCAGATCCCTTCTCCACTTCCTCATTCTAGCAACAGGCATTTATTAAATGCTTATTACCAGCCAGACATTGTCCTAAGTGTAAATAATACAAAGAATGGTGAAAATGGGTCCCACCCACCCACCTGAGGAGCTCACATTCTACAATTATCCCTTCTATATCGCAACTTTCCCCGTCATAGTTTTGATATTTTGCAGGTCAGTATAAGAAATTAAATGGGAATCTGGGGGGAGTTTTGTGGAAGCTGCAGACGGCATACAAAGGCCAGCAGATGACAGAGAAAAAGTTCAGAAACTCAGAAATTCATAACATATAAATATTTAGTAATGTATATTATCAACATATTTTATCTTTTAATACCATAATAATTCACACTTCTTCTCTGGGTGTGAAAAGGGCCAAAAAACTTTACACAGATTTTCCAGGTCATGGGGACAGCCCTAATCCCCGTGATGTGGAAGGGATGCTGTAATGCAAGAGACAATATGAAAACAGCTATGTACATACAAGATACATACAGAGTAGATGGAAAGCAATCTGAAGAAGAAAGGTACTAGAATAAGGGGTACTGGGAAAGGCCTCCTGTAGAGGGTAGGATTTGAGTTGCATCTAGGGAGAAGACAGGGAGGATTTTAAAAAATTAATTTATTTAAAACTTAAATACGAAAACTTAAATACAAAATAAGAAAAGAAAAAAAAGCATTACCACGTGCACAGCAAAACTCAAGAGAAGATCAAAAATATGTAGCAATAAGTTTCTATTTCAAGAAAGCCTATATAATAAATACTACTCATTGTGTTCTCAACTACCCATTTTTTCTTTGCTTCCTTATAAGTTTTCTTTTCTTCTCTGCTGTGTGCTTTTTACTTTGTTCTTTTTTTCTCCTTCTCCCTCCTCCAAAGGTACAATTAAGCACATATATACATGTGTGCGTGTGTGTATGTATATATGTTTACGGCTATACACACATATGTACATATCATATATACACACAAACATACATATATACACATGCATATATGTACACTTAGCTATAATCATACTCATATATAGACATATACATTCATACGCATTTATACAAGACTGTATTATAATTGTTTGTCCTCTGTTTCTCTGAGGGTGGATAGCATCTTCCTTCCTAAATCCAAGTCTTTCCATGTTTTTCTAAGTCCACCAGCTCATCAGTTTCTATACCACAACAACATTCCATCCTTCTACTGTCTAGTTATTTTAAATAGTCTAAAACAATATTGATCAATATGGCTGACATATAGTGTAGTCTCCCTATTTTTCTCTTATGATTAAATCTATTTTAGTTTTAACTTTGTCAAGGGAGGATGTTTCAAGGGTACCCTACAACCTGTCATCCCAAAAGAAAAAAAAGGAAAGATAAAGAGATCCCAATTCTCCTATGACATGCCTCCCCACCTCACCCCAGCTCCCCATTTCCCCATTTCAGCTTTAGCTTGGTTCAGAATGTCACACCGTATCATTACTGAAATTGCCTCTTGCCATCCCTAATCTGTGTCAGGCACCCAAGGAGAGCACACCAGTGGTTTCTGTTCCACTGATGAGAGGGTCGGGAATAAGGAGGCAAGACTTAGGGCAAGCTTGAGTAAGTGCCCTGTCTGCAAGCAGAAAACGTTTCTCTTCTGATGGTTGCCAGCCAAACACACAGTTATCATTAACTCTGACTGCGGTCATCATTCCAGCTTTGCATTGAATCTATTTTGACTAAGAATATTGTCCTCGGAAACACTGCAATTTCCTGCAGAGACTGCAAATCAGCAGTCGTGCCAGAAATCTTACATGGCCATTATCCTTCCGCTGGGCCTGAAGACAGGATGTCATTGGGAGCTGGGAGGCCGACTTTATTTAGTGTCTGCCTTCTGGCTGAGCAATAACGCAAGGAAATTAGATCCAGAGCACTCAGAGCAGGGATTTGACCTACCCTGAGAGGTCCCAGAGAGGCTGGGCAAACTGCTCTGAGATAGGAAGGCAATACAATTGAATTAGCCATGAGAAGGCCTCTCCTCACCTGCCAGAACTATCTATGATGAGAGCTTCTGGAACAGAGTCTGGGATCTTCTCTTTTACAGTCCAGCATCTTACTTGTGTCCAGATCTGGTTAAATCATCCCTTTGCTCAGAGCTCTTCAATGATTCTCTGCTGTTGACCCAGTAAAGTTCCCATTCGTTTGCCTGCTACTCAGGAATCTTCCCAGTCTGCAGCTGTTCCACCCTTCCAGGGCTTATGTACTCGTGCTCCTTGTACAAATTCTAACTCAGAATTAAAACTGGGGGTATTGGAGGATGGGGATGGGGATGGGGACTGAGGGAGAAGACAAAGGGGAGAGAGGGACAGGGGGAGACAGCAAGAACAAGAGCAAGAGTGAGAGAGAGAGTGAGAGAGCGAGAGAATGAGAGAGCAAGAGAGAGTCAGTCAATAAATATTTGTTTAGTGCCTACTGGCTCAGTGGATAGAGTACTGGGCCTGGAGTCAGGAAGACCTGAGTTCAATCTGGCCTCAGACACTTCCTAGTGTGTGACTCTGGGAAAGTAATTTCACTTGTCTGCCTCAGTTTCCTCAGCTGTAAAACAGGCATCATAATGACTTCTACCTCATAGGGTTGTGAGAGGGTTGTGAAGAGCAAATGAAATTATATTTGTAAAGCACTTAACACAGTGTGTGGCTCATAGTAAACAGTTACTAAATACTTGTCCCCTTCCTCCTTTGTCGTGGCAGGTCTGGAAGACAGAGTGAGACTGATGACTGTGTACAGCCCTGCCTCACTTAAAGCCAATTCACTTGCAAGTCATGATCACCTTCCTGATGTCACAGTCCTCTTCAAGAATGAAGGACAAACAACAACTTGTGAGTAGTAGGAGCTGCCCCACTGGGCAGTTCAGTTGGGCAACACCCTTCCTCCCCTCCCTCCCTCCCTCCCTTCCTTCCTTCCTTCCTCCCTCCCTCCCTTCCTCCCTCCCTCCCTCCCTTCCTTCCTCCCTTCCTCCCTTCCTTCCTTCCTTCCTCCCTCCCTTCCTTCCTTCCTTCTTCCTTTCCTTCCTTCCTTCCTTCCTTCCTTCCTTCCTTCCTTCCTTCCTTCCTTCCTTCCTTCCTTCCTTCCTTCCTTCCTCCTTCCTTCTTCCTTCCTTCCTTCCTTCTTCCTTCCTTCCTTCCTTCCTTCCTTCCTTCCTTCCTTCCTTCCTTCCTTCCTTCCTTCCTTCCTTCCTTCCTTCCTTCCTTCCTTCCTTCCTTCCTTCCTTCCTTCCTTCCTTCCTCTCATCTCTCCCTCTGTCTACCTATGGAATCATATCCTTACCAGTGGAGGGGGGTGGGGAGGAAATCAGGAAAGGATTCATGTAAGGATGGATGTTTGAGCTGAGCCCTGAAGGGAACTAAGGATTCTAAAAGACTGAGACAAGGAGGGAATGCATTCCAAGCATGAGAAACAGCCCAAGTGAAGGCATGTAGATGGGAAGGGAAAATGTTTTACAAAGAATGCTAGAACTCTGACCATCACTAAATCCTTCCATCTATCCAATCTTAATCCCTCAATTTGAGAACCTAGTTGTGAAGGCAAACAGCTGGAGAGAGAGACATAGGGGATAGAGAATGATCATACTGTGGGAGGGGCTCAGACTCTACAGTCTCTAATTTTTCTGGAATGCAATCTTCTTAAACAATGATTATAGATACAAAACATACACTTGAAGTGGCTGGAAATGTCATTAATTATGAGACAAAAAAATCCTACAGGCTAAATTCTCCCTTCAAGTAAACACATGTAGCTCCCATGGAAATTAATGGGTGTCACATGCAGGTAGGCTGAGAAGAGAACTTGGCTCCATGGGCTTAGAAGCTCAAAGACTCTGGCATCCACAATGATCATTAAGAGATCCATTCAGAAAGTCCAGAGATGGAAGCCATGGGAAAGAAAGAGAGTAACACCGATGTTTCCTACTCCCCTCCCCCAAAAGACCTTGACATTAGAATTCAATTTCTTTTTTGCCTTTGAGGATGTCAAGGTACATCTAAGGGCTGGACAGTGCAAGAGACAAGACATTCATATTCCTCAGTGTTTCCATTCTTTTCTATTCAGCTACTCAGAGAAGCAGCTAGGTGGCATTGTGGATAGAGAGATGGGCCTGAAGTTAGGAAGATCTGAGTTCAAATGTGACCTGACCCTCAGGAGCTGTGTGATTCCAGGCAAGATACTTAGCCTTCCAATTTCCTCATGTGTTAAAATGGGGAAAATAATGACACTGACCTGCCATGGTTGTTGTGATGATAAAATGAGATAATAATTGTAAATTACTTAGCACAATACCTGGTACATAGTGAGTGCTTAATAAAGATTTCCTTTCTGTCTTCCCTCCTTCCTTCCTTCCCCCAGCCTCTTTCCTTCCTCCCTCACTTCCCTCTTATCCTTCTTTCTCCCTCCTTCCCTTTCTTCATTCTTTCTTCCCTCCCTCCTGCCCTTCTTTCCTCCTTCCTGCCCTCCCTCCTTTCTTCCTTCCTTCTTTCTTCCTGATCTCACTGATATGGGTGTTCCTTCAAATGTTGCAAATTTCAATCCATCTCTCCCTCTGCACCTAGTACACACACACACACACACACACACACACACACCCCCACGTCCTCCCATAAATTCATCACAGGGAGGCCATCTAAGGTTCTGGAAGCCTTCCTTCATTTATCTGAACTTCAAGAGATATCATAGGCACCTAGGCAGCATAGATTTTAGAGCACTGGACTTGAAGTCAAGAAGACCTCAATTCAAATTCTGCCTCAGATATTTACTAGATATAAGAACCTAGTCAAGTCACTTGACTTCTTTGCAGTTCAGTTTCCTTAGCTATGGGCTGAATACGTCCAACCCATCACTCTTGCTAGGGGTCAATTTCTTCTTCTTTTTCACCCATATGCTTTCTTTACTTTGCTCCATTTATCTTTCATAATGTTCTGCATGTAATGTGTTGCAGCCTGCCCACAGCCACCATGCACATCTCCATTGACCTCTGAGTAATGCTTATTTTCAGTTCTTTGGAGACAGCAATGAACCTTACCATGTTTTGGTTTTGCCATAAAAAAAACCAGGAGAATGTCATGTATTAGAAAGAGAGGTCTTTGTTTCCGACAGAAGTTGGGAAGTCTTTTTCTTTCTTTCTTTCTTTCTTTCTCTTTCTTTCTTTCTTTCTTTCTTTCTTTCTTTTTCTTTCTTTCTTTCTTTCTTTCCTTCCTTCCTTCCTTCTTCCCTCCCTCCCTTCTCTCTCTCTCTCTTTTCTTTCTTTCTTCTTTCTTTCTTTCTTTCTTTCTTTCTTTCTTTCTTTCTTTCTTTCTTTCTTTCTTTCTTTCTTTCTTTCTATTTACTTATTTTTTAGTTTTCAACATTCACTTCCAGTTTGGGAGTCATTAAAAGAGCATCTCAATTGCCCAAAGGCAACCAAGCCCTTTCTCTGGTAAACCCTGAGCTCACTGTCCTGTCCTTTTGCATTTCTTGTCTATGTTGTTCAGAAATATCCCTTGATAAAGCTGACCAATACACAGGAGCATAGAAAGCCAGCTCATACTGGTTCTTAAGAACTGATTGTTTAATTTTTAATGTGAGCATTTACACCTTGGAAACTGGCAAACACAACAAATCAGGGCTTGATTTCTTGTTGTGTTGATTGTCTAGACTTAAGAAGGCAGAGAGAAAATGCTAATGATGCAGGTTAAACTGAAAAGCATTATAAAAATCCCTCCTCCAGAGCCGATTGTTAGATGTTACCAGCACACTGCTGAATATGCATCTCATTTGATTCAGTTCTTACTCAGAGGACTGGGCAAGCATGGAAAGAATTCAGCAAGAAGTACTTGCCCAAAATAAAATTAGGTGTTTTGGTGGAATGGAAGGGCTGAGACTGCTTTCAAAATTCACTGTTCCTAGGCTCCTAGACAGCAGGAAGGGTAAAAAGAAAGAACCAAAGGATAATTAAAAATAATGAATGAACCCTCAAAGTTTTGGAGTTGGAATGGATCTCTTAGTCATCTATTTCAGTTCAACCTCCTAGGATCGTCAGATCCAGGGGGGATCTCAATGACATTTAGTCCAACCTCTTCATTTCACAGATGAAGAAACCGAGGCTGAGAGAAGGGCCTTACTCAAGGGTCATAAAAGCAGTAAGTGGAAGTCAGAATTCAAGCCTAGGGCTCTTTTTCACTGTGCCACAGATAAGGGAACTGGGGCCTTCAGAAGCTGAACAATTTGTTCAAGGTCACACAGTTTGTTAGTTGGTATACTAGCCAGCTAGGTGACATAATAGAGAGAATGCTGAACTTGGAGCCAGGAGGGCATAAGGTCTAATGTCTGTGTTTGGGCAAGTCACTTAATTTGTGTCTCCCTAGCATTTCTCATCTGTAAAATGGGAATAACCATAGCATCTACCTTACAAGGTTATAGTGAGAATCAAAGGAGACAATGTATATAAAGTGCTTTGCCAGCCTTAAAGCACTTTATAAATGCTAATGCTAATAATAATGCTAAAAGCTAGCATTTATATAGTGCCTTATACATGCCAGGCACTGTGCTAAGTTCCTTACAACAACTTATTATCCCCATTTTATAGATGAGGAAACTGAGGCAGAGGTTAAGTGACTTGCCTAAAGTCACGCAGGTAGTAAGTGTCTGAGGCTGTATTTGAACTCAATTGATACTGTTGTTATTTTAGCAGCAGAACTAGGAATTAAGCCCAGGTCACTTCACTCCCAGGGTTCTTTCTGTTACACCAGACTACCTGCTGTTTGCTTTAAATTTATCAGTCTTGGCTAGTTTGTTAATTCACTCTCCAGAGGGAGGAGCACTAAACCTGGGGAGAAAGAAAGGAAAAGAAGGAGAGAGATTCAATGAAGTGAGACAAAGATGGATGCTGTCTGGGATGCCTCTTGTCAAGCCCCGAAAGAAATCAAAACCATGAACTGAGGAATAAAGTGTCTTTAGTTGAAATAACAGGATAGCAAACTTGCCACCCTGGGGAATGTCTAGTGGATTTCCCAACCAAAGAGGTCCATGAAAACGTTTTTATCTTTAGGAGGAGAGGGGGAGGAGGCAGCATGAGGTGACAAGGCCTGGCCATGAGACCCCAGTGGCCCTTGGCCATCTGGGCAAGAAAAGTCACTCCATTCTGGCTATTTTGCCCTTCATGCCATGAATCCCAATGGAAAGGAGGATGGACCCTTGGGCTGGGCTCCCCACAAGGCAACATCCCTGGATGGGAGCACTTAGGGTATGGTTCAGTTCAACCTAATCAAGAGTAAATACCTTAAGAGTAGAAACGTAAGGACATTACAAGGATCATTTAAGAGAGTGGCAGTCCATATTACATTTGGTATTAACAATTTCTGTTACTATATTAACAATTTTCTGTCACTCTGGTGTCACCCTTCTTTGTCCTTGAGGAAATAAGAAGCCTTTGTAGGATGGGAGATGGCAAATAGACACACAGATTGGTGATATAAATCATGTAAATATAACCAGAGATGGGTGAGGACCTTTATTTTTGTGCAGTCCTGAATCTTTGACCTGAAATCTTGATAAAACTCATTTGAGCAAGAAGGTGGATCACAAAATGAGAATTGTACACAGGGTGACTGACTAAAAAATGGTCTACCTCAGAAGTTCACACACTGAGTTCTTAAGCAAATTAAAGGAAAATACTATCCATAAATGAACTTTTAAAAATCAGAGCTTTCCCTTATGTTGTACCACAGTCACCTAACCAGAATTCACAGAAAGAAGGGCATAATAATGGGGATAACATGGGGGTAATAATGGCAGTTGTCCTTAATCCTCCAAGAGGAAAAAAATAACATCACCATGTTGGGGTCAAGGTACAGCGTGTCCAACTGTGGCTGGTCAGACCAATGGGAGATCTAAAGGCTCTACCACAGGTTGGACACATTTGGTCCATACGAACATCTAAGATGGCTCTGAATTTGTGCATCTCATGTTTCTTTTGAGCTACTGCAATTCTGCTTCGCTCACAGAACACAGAGCCTTCTTTGATTCAAGCATGCCATGTTGGGTGTTCCCGTGCCAGTGTATCTCACGTCTCCCAATCAATTCCAAAGTTCTTCAGAGAAACCTTGGAGTTTCCCTATATTGCTTCTTCTGACCTCCATGTGTCTACCTCACAGTAATTCTCCATAAAATAGTTTATTCCACCACCACCCTGTGGATGTTGTAAGGATCAAATGATATAATGTTGTATGGTACATTGCAACTATTATTTATCATTGTTATCATTATTAGATTTGACACTACTTAATTCTCCATGAGAGGAAATTACTTTGTAAACCTTAAAGCAATACAGGGTGACAGTGTTGCCTAATGGATAGAGAGTTGGTCCTGGTGTCTGTCAGGTCTCACCTTAAATATTTACTTACTTGGCTGTGTGACCCTGGGCAAAACACTTAACCTTTTAGTGCCCCAGGTAACTCCATAAAAATATAAATTGCAGAGCAGGTGGCAATTCCTTCACTGGGAGTTCTCTTAACAATGAAATCCCGGATCCAATAAGGAAATACCCTTACAAAACCTGGAAAGACTTACATGAACTGATGCAAAGTGAAGTGAGCAGAACCAGAACATTGTACACAGTAACAGCAATATTGTATGATGAAGAACTGTGAATGACTTAGCTATTCTCAGCAATACAATGAACTGAGACAATCCCAAAGGTCTAATGATGAAGCGTGTTATTTGTCTCTAGAGAAAGAACTGATATTGTTCTGAATACAGACTGAAACATGCTACTTTTTTCTTTCTTTCCCTTCCTTCCTTCTTTCCTTCCCTCCCTCTCTTCTTCTTCTTCCTTCCTTCCTTCCTTCCTTCCTTTCTTTCTTTCTTTCTTTCTTTCTTTCTTTCTTTCTTTCTTTCTTTCTTTCTTTCTTTCTTTCTTTCTTTCTTTCTTTCTTTCTTTCTTTCTTTCTTTCTTTCCTTCTTTCCTTCTTTCCTTCTTTCTTTCTTTCTTTCCTTCATAATAGAATAGTGCAGAATCAGCAACTGTTCCTCCTGTCTTAAGTGCTGATGACTAAATTTAGTTGTTTTATTTAATGGATAAATTTTCCTGACCATCCATAGCTTCATAGACTAGTCCTTTTCTGTGTCCATTGACTGTAAAAATTCGTTTTGTGTTACGTATCTTGTTATGTTTGCTTGTAAGGGAATTTAGTTAAGTACTAGATAACAAAAAGAACAGCAATAATAAGAGCCATCATTTGCATAATGCTTTAAAGTTTACAAAGTCCTTTACATATGTTATTTCATTTGATCCTCACAACAATCCTAGAAGGTGGGAGGTACTATTCATTTTACAAATGGGGAAAGCAAGTCAGACAGAAGTCAAATGACTTGCCCAAAGTCATACAGCTATCCAGTATCTGAAACAGGATTTGAATTCACATCTTCCTAACTCCAAGACTCACACTCTATCCTCTATGCCAGAGGGGTCAAACACACAGCCTTGATTTGTGACCCAACAAACTCCCCAGTGCCCTGGATCAGATTAAAATGTAATTGGGCAATGTTTAACAAAATAAATAAAAATACAAGAGAACAGAGATAATGTTAGAATGTGGTTTTCTAAGTCAACATGTGGCTAACAAGGATGTATGGCTTAGTGGCCCTTTTACTTGGGTTTGACGCCACTTCCTGTGCCACTTTGCTGCCTATTAGTCAAATATAGTTGTTCCCGTGAGAAATGCTAGGTGGAGAAATAAACCTAAGTAAGATATTTGGTAATAATTGAGAAGACTCCAAGTATGAATTTGGGTCCAAATGAATCTAGAGGTCAAGTCACGGACAATGTGTTGGTTACACATAAACAATGCTTCTTATTTTCCAACTTTCTGTCTCAGCAGCATGTAACAACCTGTAATTGTCTTCCAGTCTTCCCAACTCTGTCCTTTGTGGCCAGGCTTCATTGACATGGAAGGCAGGGGTAAAAGGTAAAAAATTGTGGGAGTCCATAACCACAGCAGTGTGAATTTTGGTAGACACTGGCTAAGCTCTTCTACTTCTCAGAATAAAGAACATTTCCTCTCTTCCTTGGATGGAGAAGGCCTGGAGATCAAATTTTAGGCAAATCATTCCCGAGTACCAATTTTCAGTCTATTTCAGCTTTGAGTTGATGATGAAAATGTTCCTAACACACTCAAGCTCAATACTTGAAAATGACCCAATTACTGGTAGGCAGCTGCATTTTAAAAAATCTCAGCTTTGTTAATGATGCTGAATCATCCCTGCTGATGGAGTCAACTTTCCCCCTTTTCTAGGCAATTAGTGACAAGGCATCTAACCTAACTAATGTTTGACTAGTCTTCCATTATTTGCATTGCTTCTAATGCTGTACCTGCTTAACAGGCCTGTCATGCCTTTTCCCATGACCTAGATCATAGATTTAGAGATAAAAGGAAGCCATTTAACCCAATGCCTTCTTATGATGAGGAAAGTGAGGCCCAAGAAAGTTGGTGACTTCCCCAAGGTCCCACAAATGGTGAACATCAGAGATCTTCAAGCCTATTCTAATAAAACATGATCCCTAGAACATCTCACTGAGGTGGAATGGTTTCAGCTCATCCAAGAACCAGCCTAGGAAAATTCAGAGAGGCTCATGACCAAGCTGACCACAGGGTGATTGAGCTTTTGTCCAGGACAACTCTCAAAAACCATCTACGAAGTCAGGGAGGGGTTGAGATCTGCCTCAGTGGCAGGAGTACCCCCTCAAAGGCGGTCATAGATCCCTAAAGTGTCAAAGAAAGTATTGAAACTACACTCTTTGCAGAAGCTCTATGGCCTCAGGAAAATCTGGGAGCACAGATAATCTCATGAAGTGAAAGCTCTAGTAGAAATTATACAGTGTTTGTTCAGTCATTTTCCTACAATGTATTTCTGAATTGTTGGACTTGAAGGCTTCTGAGGTCCCTGCTAACTCTGAGTCTTTAATTCTGTGAATTTCCTTTTGAAAGCTGTTGCTCATACTCTTTTCTTTTGTTATATGTCATGTATGTCTCCTGCCTGATCTCCTGCATCTGAAGGGAAGAGGAGAGTCGGAGCCCTCCCATTACATTCCAGGGGTCTCCAGCTTCTTCTGGGAGTGGGAAGTGGAGAAGTGAGCACTTTCCCATCATTCTCTGTGCATTTCCTGCCTGGTCAGTGTAAGCAAAGGTAAATCACTTGCTCTCTTTTGGCCTTAGTTTCTACAGTTTTATTGTACTCCCCCAAATACACACTTATTTTTTTTAAATTTTATTTATATTATTATGAACTTAAGAAATAAAACAAGCATTTCCATAACATAGCAGGATAGAAGAAAGGTGATGGCACATGAAATTGCAAATCTATTATGTAGATGTACCATTCCTTTTAAATATATCATAAAGTTACTATGTAATTTTTTCCTTTTTTCTTCCCTCCCCATCCCCCCATGGCTACCATTAGACACACCTTATACACACATACACACGCACACACATATGTATACACATTCTATATATACATCTAGTTATAGACTTGTACGAAATAACAGTGAAATGAGCAGAACCAAGAGAACATTGTATATAATAAGAACAATATTGTCTTAAGAAAGCTTTGAGTGACCAAGTCATTCTGACTATTAGAAACACCTACTTTGATATCCAATAATACTAGCCTCCTTGCTGATACTTTAACACAACACTCCATCTTCTGACTCAACATTTTCACAGGCTTGTCTGGCATGTCCCCTCTCCTTAACTCTGCCTCCTGGCTTCCATCAAGTCCCAGCTAAAATCCTACCTTCTGCCAAAAGCTGTTCCAGATTCCCCTTAATTCTAGTCCTTCTCTATTGTTTATCTCCAGTTTATCCTGTAAATACCTTGTTGCATGTTATTTTCCCCATTAGACTGTGAGCTCCTTGGGGGCAGGGACTGTCTTTTGCCTGCCTTTGTATCCTCAGTTCTTAGCACAGTGTCTGGAACATAGTAGGTGCTTTAACAATACTCATTGACTAACTGACTGTGAAAAGAGGAGCTGGATTGAGTAACTTCTAAGGTTCCTTCCACTCTGGATCTATGATCTTGTGAATCTCTCCCAGCCTCAGTTTCATTATTTCCAAAATGGAGACAATAATGTTTGTAATACTTCACAGGGTTGTTGTAAGACACAAATGAGATTATGGGTTTAAAGTGCTTTACATTTTAATTGTTTGTGGAAATGTCTGTTCTTCTTTATTAGGAAGCATTTAGATGAGCACTAATACATGCTGAGGGGGGCAGCTAGGTAGCAGAGTGGGTAGAGAGCCACGTCTGGAGTCAGAAAGACTTTTTCCTTAGTTCAAATCTGGCCTCAGACACTTACCAGCTGTGTGACCCTGGGCAAGTCACTTAACCCTATTTGCCTCAGTTTCCTCAACTGTAAAATGAGCTGGAAACCAGAAATCACTCCAGTATCTTTGCCAAGAAAACCCCAAATAAGGTCACAAAAAGTAGGGCATGACTAAAAACCAACTCAACAACAATACATGCTGAATTGTAGCTATGCCCAAGGAGAAGGTCCCTGCCTCTGCATAAAGCTCCTTCCTTTATAATTCTTTCAGGTAATTCTCTAGTATAATGTGAGCTCCTCAAGTATGAGGGCTGTCTCATCTTTATATTCATATGCCCAGTACTTAGTATGGTGTCTGAGCACATAGCAAAGTGCTTAATAAGTGTCAGTCACTCAATAAGCATTTATTAAGTGATTACTATATACCAAGCCCCTTTGCTAATGAAAAAACACAGGTCCTGCCTTCGAGGAGGTCTCATTCTAACGGAAGAGACAACATGCAAATAACTGCTTACAAGATCTATACAGTACAAATGGAAGCCAATCTCAGAGGGAAGGCACCAGGGGTGAGGCAGATTAGAGCAACTTCTGGAAGAAGGTGGAATTTGCTAATTGATTGGTTGATTTCTTCCTTCCTTCTTTTATTCATTTATTTATTAATAATTCATAATAATTCATTCAATAATAAATTCATGACCCCAGTTCAGAGAACACAGAGTAGGTAGACACATAGTAGGTGCTTAATTCATATCTATTGATTGATTGGTTGTTTGCCTTCAGCAAATCAAAGTGACTACAACCCCACTGCAATGAGATTTGATGTGAACTGCTTGATGTTTTATACCTCCCACACAAAAAAATACTGGAAATGAGAAAACCTCAAGTGAATATTTCGCAACAGGAATGAGCTCATGTGGGTGGGAGTGATGGTGTTTGACTTAGCCTTATCTTAAATGATGAAACCTGTGGTTACAACATGGGTAACTCACTACCTTCTGCACAGGCACATGTGGGGTTCTCATTTAGCAATAGTCAACTCCGGCCAATGGAAATTGGCCCTTTGTTTGGTCCTTCTGTAGTCTGAGAGTGGGCTGAGATAAGTTTCCTGGAACGTAACTCTCTGTGTCTCTCCTCCCTTTGTCCTGTGTATGCAGGTTATAGAGAGATTGTAAATTGTACACACACCAGAAAATCCGTAGAATGTTAGCCATGATGGCTGCTCAGACCATAAGTCAAAAATCACACCCTTCTGGTTATGGTACCAAAGGGAATTCTTGACATTTGACCTTGACCTTGGAGCCAATGACCTCATCCATTTCCAGAAAGCCTTTGGGAAAAGTACAAACCAACAATCTTGGCTGAGATTTTTGAAATACGGCGGCTTAGCTTCAAGTCTACTTTGGGGTCAACATATTTTAACAACAGCTTTGTCAGTGGGTTCAACATGCGGTGGTAGAGAGGGAGGTTAGGTGTTATCTCTTTATTTCATCTCATTTCCCATGTGACATAATGATGACTGTGTAGGTGCGGGAATGCTTTCACTATAAATTGAAAACAAATTTAACCACCAAGGTCCAGAGAGGCATGTGGTTTGTGCAAGAAGACAAACAGTAAAGTTCATGGTGGGGGGAGGAGGGAGAGAAGCATGGAAAAGAAACTTTGATGAAGAGGCTGCATGAAGTCATGGGAGCGGGGGAGAAGTAACCACTTGCTTTGGAATCAGAGCAACTGGGTTTGATTCTTGACTCTGCTATGTAATTGGATAAATCACCTTGGAGAAGTCACTTTCCCTCTCTGAAAAGTGGTTTCTTCATCTAAATAACTAGCTGACATCTAAGCTCCCATCCAATCTATGATCCTATGAACCTGGGGAAGATTTGAACAGTCACTATTTATCTCCTTTACGTCAGAAATCAAGATTCAGATACATTGTATGGAAGAAGTCATTGACTCTATAACTTCATGTGCACACTTCATTTCCAAATATATGCTCAACTGTATCGCAACTAAGAGCTTGGTGGAAATACTGTGCCCCTAATGAGACTATCAGAGCATAATATGCTCATGATCAAAGATTTAGAGATTGAAAGAACTCTTTAGGTCGCCAAATCTAATCCACTCATTTTAAGGCTAGGTGGCACAGTGGATAGAGTACTGGGACTGGCATCAGGAAGACCTGAGTTCAAATCTAGCTTTAGACATTTACTAGCTGTGTGACCCTGGGCAAGACATTTAACCCTGTTTGCCTCACTTTCCTCATCTGTAAAACAAACTGGAGATGGAAATGGCAAACCACTCCTGTATCTCTGCCACGAAAACCCCAAATGGGGTCATGAAGAGTTGGACGTGACTAAAAAATGACTGAAAAACAATAAATATTTTGCAGATGAGGAAAACTGAGGCCTGAAGAGTTTAACTGACTTTTCCAAGATCATACATGTAATGACAAAAGCAGAATTTGAACTCCAGTCTCCTGACTACAGAATAAGTGTTCCTTCTATTTCCCTTATGGTCTCTTCCAATTCTGAGTCTATGATCAATTGTGCCATCACAGAATCAACAAGTTTCAGAGGTGGAAGCAATGTCAGTGGCCGTCTAGTTCAAACTATACCCCTCCACTCAAATCCTTTCTACAACATACCCAATAACTGGATATCCCATGTATCCATGAATACCTCTAATGAGGAAAGCCTACTACCTCTTTGAGGCTGTCTGGCCATTGCACTTTGGGATTGCTCTGATTGTTAGAAACATTCCCCTCCTTATATCATGCCTACATTCCAACCACTGCACCTGGTTCTGTCCTCTGGGGATCAATGGCTCCAGAGTTAGAGAATCTGAACCCAAATCCCACTTCTGAATCTTATTACTTGTATAACTATGGGCAAATCACTCAACCTGCCTCAACCTCAGTTTCCTCATTTGTAAAATGAGGGACTTGGAGCAGATGATCCCTTGAGTCCCTGCCTGCTCTAAAACGACAACCTTACTGTAGCAGGTTTTTGGAGACTGATTGAGAGCCTTGTTGCTTATTTCTGGGAAATGTTGTCTAGCATTGCTTCATCCTGTACTGGGAGGGGCAGAGACAATCCTAAACTCTGGGTTATGTGATGCAACAGCAACTGAAACAGGGAGTTTAGACCTGAGAATGGCTCGGGAGCTGGGGGTGGAGGAAAGAGATGATAGAGTCAAGAAGGAGGAAGCACAGAAAGGGAAAGGAAACTATATTGGAAACTAGACACATTTAAGGAACCTTGGCCCCATTGACCACTGCCTCCCCTGCTGGGATACTGATGAGTGGTGTGGTTGGAATAGACTAAGGCCAGCTGAACTTTTCTCTCCAGGAGTTTGTTAAAGGTCTCATAGTGCTTCTTTCCCCCTCATTTCCTCTGTAACAGCAGAGGTTTGTTTCCAAGTTTCTCTGTTATTTCTATCTGTTCATAATTCCTGATTTAATTAGTAAATTAAAATTGGCTTATTCTAGATCAGAAGTTCTTAACCTGGGGTCTATGAACTTGTTCTGAAAAATATTTTGATAACTATATTTCAATATAAGAGATTTCCTTTGTAATGTATTTTATTTTATGCATTTAAAACATTATCTTAAGATGGGTTCCGTTGACTTCACAAGTTGCCAAAAGGGTCTATGATGCAAAAAAAAAAGATTAAGAACCACAGCTCCAGATGAAAATCTAACAGATTAGGGCGGCTGGGTGGTGCAGTGGATGGAGCACTGGCCCTGAAGTCAGGAGGACCTGAGTTCAAATCTGGCCTCAGACCAACCACTTGACAACTTACTAACTGTGTGACCCTGGGCAAGTCACTTAACCCCAATTGCCTAACCCCCCCCCAAAAAAAATCTA